CATGAACAAACATTAAACGACTGCCTTATACTGTACCTAGAAAATTGTGTGGCTAAAAATTTGTGATTTGCTACAGTACAAACGTCACTAAAAAAATTTGTAAAAAAATTCATAAATTTGTGTACCAAATTTTTAAGGATTAATTTTGCAATTTTCCAAATTCACAAAACTCACAGAAATTTTGAGCCACAAAAATTTCTAGCTATATAATGTATTAGTAACGCGGTAGCGTTACTAAGTAGGATTCACCCCCAAACAAAATGGCTGTCACGACTTTTGCAGCCTTGCTATACCGGGGAAACGAGCTCCTATGCTTACCAGACTTCTTAGAGGACCTTATCTTGACCAGAGGACTCCATTGGTACCCATAGCGTGGCTCTAGGCCCTGTCTAAAAGAAAAGCCAAAAATTGGCGAACCGGCCGTTTTGTTCAGCCACCTTTTTTCATCTTCATCATCATCATCATCAAGAAGTCCTGTCAATCCAGTTGTCGGTGTGTATCTCAGTATCAGTTGGTGCTACAAGGATAATTCTTACACCAATCTACTCCAACAGTCTATGCGCAGGTCCATGTCCCATCAGATCATTCTTCAAGTAAGGAAAAAGTGGTACTGTGGCTGCTGGATCGAGCCATCTTAGCTGCATGCAGCCATTTTGTTAATTAAAAAAGCATGCCATTTGCTCCAAAATTTGGGTGTGGTCGCGCATGCTCAGATCTGCAGCTCTGGAAGAAGCAATTTTTTTTTTTACCAAGCTATGCTTGCTACTGCAATACTTTAGTGGAGGTTTCCAGCTAAAAGAAGGTATTAATCTTACATGTTACTGTTTTATCAAGTGTGTGATTTTATTTAAAAAAAAAAACAAACAATTAATTAATGTATGATATGCAATGATAATATGAATGACAACAGCCTGGAAGAACAGGAATAACTGCATTCTGCTGTAACATTGCAGGGAAGATGGACACTCTCAACTCACAGCTTCTTGAACAAGGACTTGTGTCAAGACTAGTATTAATTTCACTTGTCATCAGGATAATTGATATTCCTTCAGCATGTCTATTCATTCAATGCTGTCTCTCATAAATGATGTAAAGTCATAACAATGATAATAATAATAAAGAAAATTATTGTTTGTGTAAAATCAACAAATATCACAATGGCAACTAAAGAAATATTATAAATATTATAAAAAATTAACATAAACAAGAACATAAAAAATTAAAAAAAACAAGATTAAAGTAGGATTC